ATTGCTTCCGTTATGTTTTGACATCTTATAATAAGAGATGCTTTCTCCATTTCTAGATTTATTACTGTATCTTCTAGTCTCTCACATTTGCTTTTAATGTCCTGAGCATCAAGATCTATATCCCGTACTTTTTCTCTTATTTTCCCCTGTCTGGTGGCAAGGTTTATAATTTCTTTCCTATTTGCGTGTTTGTATTTGCTGTTTCAGTTCGTCTGTTTCATTCTTTATTTGCGTTGCTAAGTTGTCTATTTTGGAACTAACCGGTTCTATTTCTCTTTTTATTAAAGTAGGTAAATTGTCTTCAAAGGCACTTTTCACAGCGTGAGCCACCGCCTGGGCCACTGCTCTATTTACACTTTCCTCTATAGTTTTGTTAATTTCCTTCATCGTCGTTTGTGGTACTGCCATGCTAGTTAATTTTAGTTGGGTACTACCCCCTCCTAGCCCAGGTGAAGGAATTGATGACTTCCTATTTGCGCTTCCTCCTGAAGCCATAAACTTAAATAGGTCTTTTAAGTGTCTGTATTATTTATTGAGTTTTTGCCTTCAGTTTCTTTGGTTTAGCTTCTAGTTGCCTCTTTTATATGGTTTTTTGGGGTTTTCTTTATTTATTTTCCTATAGATCCTATATGTCTTGTAAGTCTCTTTCTTTTACTCCTCCCTCTTTCCACTGTTTCTGGTTCTTTAGATAGCAGTCTATCTCTTTAAGTGTACTCTTTTGTCTCTTTAAATAGTCTTCTATCTCTTTAAATGCCCTTTCACAGTCTCTTTCTAACTCTTTGCTTTGTCTCTTTAAATATCTTCTGTCTCTTTAAATGATCTTTCACGGTCTCTTTCTATCTCTTTTATTCCTCCCTCTTTCCACTATTACTGGCTCTTTAAATAATAGTCTGTCTCTTTAAATGTGTTCTTTTGTCTCTTTAAATAATTTTCTGTCTCTTTAAATGTCCTTTCACAGTCTTTCACAGTCTCTTTCTAACTCTTTGCGTGACCTTTTACAGTCCTTTTACTGTCTCTTTAAATACTTCCACCGTTCATTCAGTTTTGTATTCATTCAGGTTTGGCTTGTTAATGCTCCTCGCCCCTCCCTTTCCCCTCCGTCGTCTGGCTTTTACGTCACTCCTCCACTCTGTGCCCCGCCTTTCCCTGCAGGCCTCCTGTCGCTCCTTCTTCCATCTGCTCAGATCTGCTCGTTCCGCGTCAGTGCGCTCCGCCTCTTCACCGCCTCCAGCTGCACCCTGCTGCACACGTCTCCAGCTGCACCCGGCTGCGCCCGACTCCAAACTCCCCTCGGCTCCTTGCAGCATCTCAAAACCATGGCCCCTCGCAGCTTCTTAAAGGCAAACGGCACCTGCAATGAAACGGTAACAAGAGCAAAAAAAAGTTGTAATTTCAGTCTTTCACTTCCACTTCTTCACAGCCCTGGTTTTTAGCCTCTTTCCTCCTTTATTCCCCCCTCTGCATAGAAGACAGATTTCTTCTTTAAAACCCCCAAGATGATTCTCCCAAAATGTATAGATTTACATTTTGTAAAGGTTGGTCCCATATATCCAACCTTCACGACGCTGTCAGCTCCCATTTTTGGTTTATTAGTTGCTTTACAACTATTATTGTTATTTAGTTACTTATTTTTCAGTGTCTGGTTTATAATCAAATCATCCAATGTGACTTGGTTTATACTAACATTTACTAAAATTACATTTTAAACCATTTGACAGTGGAAGTTATTCAAATTGAAGGCCAAAATCAAACTGGCAAGGACCCTAACCAGGGGTCGCCACCCCACTGGTCTCCCCCCAGAAGCTTCCCTTGCCTCACTCTTCGCCTCTAGAAGAGTTTGAAACGGTGTTATTGTTTAAAGAAGTTAATAGTCTTGGGAGAGCGGTGTGCGTCCAACCTCCCTCATTGAGACCGGATCCGGAAGTCCCGCCCGGAGATCAGTTCTAATTCCAGGCCCCGCCTTGTGGGTTACCAACCCTACAGTAACAGCACTGGCAGAACAATAAAAAAAGATCATCATCATCATCATCATCATCATCATCATCATCATGATCATCATCATCATCATCATCATCATCATCATCATCATCATCATCATCATCATCATCATCGCAATCAAGAAAGAAAATCAGTTTCCTAATATACAGTCTAAACCTAAGCAAAGTTACTTCAATGGCTTTAGGAGAGTGTTAAGTCTGGTAAGGACTGCCCTGTAGATCTCTGAAGGCACAACAAAAAAAAAGTCATGTTTTCACTGCCTGTGAAACCCGAATAGAGACTGTACATGAAAAACCTCCAAAATTTCCCCCCGGTCACACTCGACTGTGCAACTGAACAATAACAACATAGTAAGTTCACTTTATGGAGGAGTCAAACACTACAAGTACCATTTTATTCACGGTGTCTTACTCCCAGGAAAGTATTCTTAGTTTTGCAACCATACAGTATTAGCACAAAAGAGCCACTAACAATAATACAGAGAAAATAAATTACAATATGGTTATAGGTAAAACGCCATTGTTCTAAAAGCACTCATGTTTCTTAAAACTGCTTGATACCTTAGCTCATTTCTACAGATCTAAAAATAAATACCCCTAGATTATGAGCACCATTAAGAGCAATCTTTCAGTTTCGCAATGCTATTAGTTCAGTCAGTGTAGCAATTACTTTTACTCATAAAATCAGCCACTCTCTTGTCACTCCTGCAATCAAAGGTGGAAATCCAGAATATGTATTTATCAGCTCCCCAGCTCCCCAAATCAGACTTCTAGTAGCACATGAGGTGATTGCTTTAGCGTTGTCTGGTGGTGTATAAATACAAAAGAAACAGAGCACCAATCAAAGGCTAGCAGAACTCCCTGTGGAATATCGTCAGTGCATCTGATTGGAGTTACTATGGTGAATGGAATTGTTTATATTCCTTCTCTAGCAAGGGGAAAGAACAAGCAAAGCAGCAGCCAGACAAGGAGAAGGAATCCTGGCTGGGCTAAAGATGCCATGGAGCCAGTGGGCCTGCAAGAGATAGTGGTTGCCGGGCTTCTCACAGAGCCCTCCTTTCACATGGCCGTGTGTGCAGCAGAGGTAAACTCTCAGCCCTCTTTTCCTTCTATATCAACAACTTGCTAACATCAGTCCTAGTGCTCTGTCCTTGTGAGCTGTTTTATAGAAGGCAGTATACGTAGTGAGACGCTGTATCACAAAGAAATGTTAGTTAGGTGCAAAGGAGATACTTTCAGACCATGATTGTGATTAGGGCAAATGATAAAACATGGTTTATTCAAGATTAAAACATTGGCTTATTATCCACAGTGTATAATTATGAAGTACCTTTTAACAATATCTTTCACCCAATCTTTCATGAAACGAAATCTATATGTGAAGTGCCAGCATCTAACCTAGTTTAGAAAGTATAGCATGCAGCAGCCTGTGTTTGAAAGTATGTTTGAAAGTGTGAAAGTGTTTTTGAAACTGCGTTTGAAAGTGGATGGCAGGGCCATCTGTCAGACTGGAAGTGATTGTCATAAAGCTGAAACAAAAAAAATAAATGTCATTAAAGCTGGATCTACATATCTGATTCTCTCTTAAATATTTCATTATTTAGCTTGAAATTTTGGGGCAAATTTCCCTGTAGACATGCCCCCATGGCTGGAAAAAGGGACAAGATTTCATGCCAAATGGCACATCTATCCATTCAACCATGGCTTACTAGCAGTTAATTCATGTCACCATGATTTTTAGCCATCACGTCTGAGATATCACCTTTGAGAATCAGCAGTTTTTGAGCACTTTGGCACAGATCAGGCTCAAGCTCTTCCACACATCTTCCCCCTTAAGGCTCGGCTCAGCTCCCTGTCTAAACCAGCACCTTGGCATTTTAGAATATAGCAGAACTCATAAAATCTGGATATCTAAAAATGGGAGTTTTCTATTCAATACAACACTGGATTTAAGTATTAAACACAATGAGCACAGCTACCTTCCAAGATTCTACAGTTAAAGGGTCTCAGTCAACAGGCATCAGGAAATATCTTTCTGTGACTGCAACCCTGGAAAACAGTTTCAAGTCAGAATGGACAATACTGAGTCAAATCAACCGATGGTCTGAGTTGGTATAATATACGTTCATATAGATCTTAGGGAACTGAAATGTGAGGGATTAAGAAGGCCAGGTCAGTTAAGAGTAATGGGTTTATTTATTTTTTTGTCTTGGAAACAATATTATCTCCTGCCTTTCCAAAAGTTCAAGATAGTTGATAAAGCAACAACATTTTAAAAGTTATACAAAACAGATTAAAAAGGACACTGGAAAGATTACTCATCTGAATGCAACAATACCCATAACCGATCCAAAAACATTAGTAATCCATCCCCCCCTCCCCCCAAGGCTGCAGTCTTCTAAAGGCCACTGGAGGCTTGGTGTGGAGTTTCTGGTAGGCTATTCTGTAAGGCATAATGGACAGAAAGGCCTGATTCTTCACATAGGACCCACCCAACCACCCAAGAAGATGGCATGGTCTTACAAGAATGCTGGGTACTTGAAAAAGTGCATGGGTACATATCAGGAGAGATGGCCCTGCAGGTATGTGTACTCTATCCCACAAAGGGTTTAAAAGGTAAAGACCAGCACTTTGAATTGAACCTAGAAGCAAATAGGAAGCCAGTGCAGCTAGTTTAGCACAGATTAATGTGGTTTGGCTCTGTAAACAAATGCACAACCACATTTTGCACTGGAGAAAGCTTTTGAGTTGTCTTCAGGGGCAACCCTATGCAGAGCATATTACAGTAATTACTACAGTGATCAAGGGATGCAAGGAGTATTGGCAAAACACAGGAAGGAAAATATGTCCATTTTACCATGCATCCTGTGATCTGATTATGTAATCCATAGATCAAGCCTGTAAAATAGATCAGTAGTATTATCTCCATATTGCAGATAGAGATTGAAAGTAGGTGAGGAAGTGGCTTATCTGGGAGACCCAGTGAATTCCTGACTGATCCAAGATCAACTCTCAGCTCATATATTTAGCCACAACCTTCCTGTTGTTCAACTTGCTTTTGTCCATTTTTGCTGTTGCACAATAAATTGTAGCAGAATTACAGGTGGTGAAGTCAAGAAGCACCTTCACAACCACTTCTCTGCAAACCCAGGGAACTATGGTTATATGATTCAGCCCCCAAATAAGTGATACTGAAGCATAATTCTAATTGGGCCACTTCCATCAACATCAAATACATGTTAGAGAACAGCATTATAAAGCATCATTGGATGGCGTTTTTTTTATCTTGACTAGGCTCTGAAGAAGAATTTTCCAACCAAGATAGCGGACCCTAAATTGTTTCCTTTGCTGGAATTTGCATGGGCTGAGTTTCTACAAGAGAAAAAAAAGGTATGTTTTACTTCTGAACTTCCAAAGCAGAATTTATTTGTAAGCCGCCCTGAGCCTGCCCTGGGAGGGAGGGCAGGATATAAATTAAATAAATAGATATTTATTGAAACATTTATATCCCAACTTTTTTCGTAATTCAAGGCAGCTCAGATTAGTCTGATTTTGGACTTATTGCCACTCTTACTGTAACCAAATGTTGCATTATTCTCCAGACACTGCTCATCCAAGTTTTTCAGGAATAAGTCTTGATCTTGCAATATACAAAACATGAGAAAATGCTTTAAGTACTCAAGTGGTTAAGAACTCTCATTCCCTTGTGTTTAATTCTAAACATGTACTTAAGGGCATGCCTTTGTTTTTCAGGCCTCATACAGACATGCAGCAGCAACTTGAGGTGGTAGAATTCTGAGGTGTTCGGATTCTGTATTGCTGGCTCCAGTGAAGGGAAGGGGACATACTTAATTTTCCCTCATGTACAACCCCCCTGATTATTAAAATTTGGCAAAAGAGGAAGAAAGGTCCTATTTTAGCCTTTTGCATACTGTGCTTATTTTCTATTTACAGGGAATTATTAAACCAGGTTATGACAAAAAAAATTGAAACACTTTCACCCGCAGTCTGAAGTAACAATATCCATTCAATTGCCTCAGTACGCGGCCACCTCATTCTGCTGCCTGTACACCATTCTCCTGTGTGCATGTTTATCTCATGGGGGCTTTTAAACACAGTAATCCTGAAACCCTGCTATTTCACCTTCTAAACACAGGAGCTAAGAGGAGAAGTATGGGAATATCCCTCCAATGTGATGTGTTTTGTCGATGGCCAGCTTGTTGGAGATGAAAAAATGCTGCTAAAGTGGGCTTATGATGTTTGGGATTATAAAGATTTTAAGCCTACAGCCCTTTACCAAGCTATTACAGAGGATTTCTTCACGAAATACATGAGAGGCAAAAAGGTAAGGTCATAGATTTCTACAGGAAACAGACTAGTTTGTGATGAACTGGGGCCTGACAGAATAAAAATATTATTCTTAGAGTGATCCAAACCAAAGTTTGGAGGACTGGGAATGTGCCATGACCTGTGTCAGTATACCTTCTGTCCTGCAAACAGATTATCTTTATTTCTGGCTGCAGTAACCAGTTTGCTATGAGGTCCAAATCAGGCAGCAGTGGTTAGATAGTGTTAACCTCCAGTATTCTTTTTGGACATTACAGTGAAGTACAAGTAGAATAAAACTGGAACTAGAGAAGGGCATCAGCTCACGAGAAGGAAGGAAAGGTGCACATAAACCTGAGTGCTTTCCTGATCTTCTAAATTCCAAAACTCATGAGATTTCTCATATCTTAGAGAAAAGTTGTGTAGATGATCCCCCACCTACATATTCCAGAATGTGGAGTCTGTTCTGATATTTGATTTAATTTTTTACAGGTTACATTTTATAGGCCAAATCTATCACACTGAGTTTTTGTGAGGATAACACTGTTCTTTCAGCATACTAGTGCATATGAGAATATATGCCTCAAGGCTCTACAACTGGTTTCCTTTTATTTCAACTTAACGTTTAGTCCTTTACAGAAGCTTGTGAAGAATCTTTGTTCTCTCAAAAGATGTCTATATCCTTCAGAGTACTGATTATCAACTTGTGTTTCCAGAACACTGTGAAAGAATGAACTGAAGGTGCCTTAAAGGTAAAGGTAAAAGTTCCCTTGATCGAAAGCCAGTCGAATCCAACTCTAGGGTTGTGGTGCTCATCTCCATTTCAAAGCCGAAGAGCCAGCACTGTCCGAAGACGTTTCCGTGGTCATGTGGCCGGCATGACTAAACACCAAGGCGCACGGAACGCTGTTACCTTCCCACCGAAATGGTACCTATTTATCTACTTGCAATTTCTTGCTTTTGAACTGCTAGGTTGCCTTACCAATGGTCTATTTAGCTTAGCATTATCTAGGTTGCCTTACCAATGGTCTATTTAGCTTAGCATTATCTACTGGCAGTGGCTCTCCAAGGGCCAATACATGCTCCTTGAGATCTTTTAAACAGACCTTGCAAAGCATGTCTCTACTATTTTGGCACAGGCCTTCTTTCCCATCCTAATTGCAGACACAATTCCCTCAAAGTCAGCTTGTTACCCATTCAGTATTGATATTCTCCATGCACATGTCAGCCATTATGCAGTGACTCCATTGGCTGCCCATCAGCTACTGGGTTCAACTCAAGGTGGGATTGCCAGCATGGGGTTGGGAAATTCCTGGCAATTTGGGGGTGAAGCATGGGAAGGGTGGGATTTGGGACCTCAGGCTTTAAGTCTACCCTTCAAAGCAGCCATTCTCTCCAGGGGAACTGATCTCTTTCATGTGGGGATCAGGTGTAATGGTGGGAAGTCTCCAGGCCACACCTGGAAGCTGGCTACCCTAATTCAAAGTACTGGTACATGCAAAGCCCTGCATGGCCTTGGGCCCTCATATCTATGGGCTGCCCCTCCTCCTCTGTTCTGCCAGGACAACTCTGCTCAGCTGTTCAGAGCCTTCTACAGGTGCCATCCCGCAAACAGGCAACATCAACAATTGCCCATGCATGTGCTTTCTCTGTTGTGACCCCCAACCTGTGGAATGGCCTGCCTGAGGAGGTCAGGAAGGCTCCCACCCTCCTGTCATTCTGCAAATTATGTAAAATGTAGTTTTCAGGAAAGTTTATCTCTAACAATAATAGGCTATACTTTTACTCAAATGTGCATATACGTTGACAAAGGAGCATCCTCCCTCTAAGAGGGTTGGAAGCCTATACTCACCTGTGGTTAGGGCAAATATTATTGGGACTGTATTGCCTGATGCATACCAAAATCCAGGATTTGATATAACACCTCATAAAGATGTAGAGATTCTTAGAATAAACAGACACTGGTTTAAAGTTAAGGATTTATTATGAAAACAATAATAGTAAAAGGAATTAGCAAATTGAATACAGAGTTTGAAATATGCATACACTCTAAAGACATGTTCTACAGATCCAAATTTCTACTAAATCCTAACCTAAGCAAATGTTACTAATATAAAAAGTAGAGTGGGGGCAAGGAGAAATGTGGAAGGAAAACATACAAGCCTGGTCCAGTAATTAATGTCCAGTGAGATTTGCCAGTGAGAGGAGAGAGGAGGAAGCCACCTAGGTGAAAGAGAGGTAGAAGTAGGGTTGTCAGCCCTCCAGTCCGGATGGGGGTTCCCCTGCTTTTGCGGGCCTCTTTCCACCACCAGCCAACTGGCCAGCGGGGGAAACCCTGCCCACAAATGCCCCTGAACGTGGTGCAATGACATCACCTGGAAGTGACACCATCACGTCACTGATGTCATGCAGCAATGCTCTAGTTTTTGGGCAAGACTCTATGGAAAAATTGGCTCAAACCATAGAGCATCACCGTGCAACATCAGCAACGTGATGACAGCACTTCTGGGTGATGTCATCACACTGTGCATGCAAAGTGCACGCGGTTGAAGACTCCCAGAGAAGGCCTATCAATCCCACACAGGCTGCCAAGCAGGACCTGGCAACCCTAGGCAGAAGAGAGGAGGGCAATCTTTACAGATGCCCGCATTGGAATGACAGAGCCAGTCCCAAAGCCGGGGGGGGGGCGTTTGGGGGCTGTGCCCCCACATATGAGCCCCACCCCAGGAGGAAGCCAGACCCCCCACTCCCGGTGTGCCACACTCCTTACCCCTGCCTGCTGTGGCCTCACCAACTCATCCTGCTGCTTCCCGCTGTAGCCAAGCAGAAGGGGAGGGAGGGGGCAGAGGAGACAGTCAAGCAGGGGAGAATGGCCTGCCCTCTACCGTACTGCACAAATCTTTTTCACCTTCCAAAACTCTAGGAAGATGAATACTAAAATCGAATCCATTGACCATTTGGGGCAAATGCATAACTAACAATTTCTTGGCATGGAGTCTTTCTGCCTGTTCACTCATCTTTCCAGTTTTGCCCTCTCTAACACCTGATCCAAGCTCCCCTCGCCCGCTGCACCTTGCCTTGGTTTCCTATTGGCTCTTCTGTCCCCTCATTGCCTTCCACATCAGCACAGAGAGCGTGGCAGGCCAGAGCATGGCTGCTAATTATAGTCCAAGAGCTGGGCCATTCATAATTCACGTGCACTCAGAAAGACACAGTGGAGAAGTGAAGGTTCAAATCCACACTCAGCCATGAAGCTCACGGGATGATCTTTGAGTAATTACTCTCTTTTAGTCTAATCTACCTCATTGGTTAAGACGCGGAACTGCAGGCTGTGGAAGGTCGGTAGTTCAGCAGTTCGAGACCCGAGTATGCCACATGATGGAGTGAGCTCCTGTCTCTAGTTCCAGCTCCTGCCATCCTACCAGTTCGAAAGCAAGAAATTGCAAGTAGATAAATAGGTACCCCTTCAATGGGAAGGTAACAGCGTTCCGTGCACCTTGGTGTTTAGTCATGCCGGCCACATGACCACGGAAATGTCTTTGGACAGCACTGGCTCTTCGGCTCGAGGAGCCGTTCCCCAACATTTTAACTCATTAGGGTTCAAGCTTTTGTGAGGACAAAATGGCAAGGGGAGCCATGTATGCTACCCAGAGCTCCTTGAAGGAAGAGCAGAAAAAATAACATAAATAGAATACTAGCATCCTTCTTGGCAGACCAGTTGATGAATAAAAAGTGTGCTAAAAATAGAAAACTGAAAAACGACACCGTTGGAGAATTGTAGAACATGTTCACTAGTGTTTTATTTACTAGCATTCAACCCTTTACCTTTAGAAGTGTGACTAAGAATCAGAAGGGAAAATTCTTTAAGTATTTAGCGTATTCCACTTTGAGAACAGGATTTCTTTATCTTGACAGCACGTTTTCGTGTGCTTGAATGTGGCTATTCAGGAGGTACCTATCGGACAATTGCTGTTTGAGGTAAGTTTGAAGGGGGAAAATCAAATCATTGTTCTCTGGGCCCAATATTCAGCATGTAACAAGACTTGGCTTCTCTATTAAGGAAATGTAAATAATTCCTATTAAACAAATATGCCTATGTTTTAAATATAATTTCAAATTGCACATTTAATGCTTCAGCTTTTTCATTCTAAATGTGGGATTGTTGTGTAGGATTCATGGTTTCAGGAAGTTGTGCTGACCTAAAGCAAAATCCAAAAAGAAAAGCCATAAAATGCCATTTATTAGGAATCCCGCAAATAACAGAAAACCATGTACAACATTTTTGAGTTCTCCAGAACTCTTCATCAGACTGGATTAAAAAATAATAATAAAAGGTGGTGTTGAGGGGGAAGAGATGTTGCAAGCTCTGATAGAAATCAAGACCCCTTTTAGAATCATAGAGTTGGAAGGGACATCCAGGCTTATCTAGTCCAACCCCCTGTACAACGCAGGAAATTCACAAATACCCCCACCCCCAGTGACCCCTGATCTATGCCCAAAAGAGGGCGACCCCCCCCCCAACCCTCCAGGATCCCTGGCAAAACTAGCCTGGAGAAAATTGCTTCCTGACCCCAAAGTGGCAATCAGCATTTCCCTCAGCATTTAAGAAAGGGCTGTGAGAACTAAGCACTTATGAAACCTTTTAAGCACTGATGAAACCTTTCCTGCCCTCCCTCTCATAATCTGCCTAAGTTCACAGAATCAGCATTGCTGTCAGATGGCCATCTAGCCTCTGTTTGAAAAACCTCCTAATCTTCTTCGTGGTCTCTGTGCTTCACACCAATGGGATCTAGTGCGCCTGTGCTGGATCTGCCGGTGCCTAGCAAGCTCTCTTAAAAGGATTTTCGTGCCTGGCCCAACTGAGCATGCTCAGGAGCCCCAGTGAGCATGCCCAGAAGGGCAGGCACGGACATCCCGCCAGTTCTTTCCTTTCCGCCGCGCTGAGCAGACCTTTCTTCGAGAGGTCTGGCCGGATCGCTGCCTTTTTGATCACTTTTAGTGACTAGCTCTCCTGCTGAGCAGACCTTTCTTCAAGAGGTCTGGCCGGATCGCTGCTTTTGGATCACTTTTTAGTGATTAGCTCTCGTTGTTCGCCTCAGTTTTTCTTCAGTTTCCTTTTCTCTTCCTGTGTTTAAAAAAAAAAAGGAGACTTTTTGTTTTTCATCATCTGAGGTAAAATTGCCTCAGGCCTTCGGGCCGCTGGCCCACCCCCCACCCCTCCTTGTCGCTGGTCTTTTTCTCCTCAGTCTATGGAGAAGAAGAAGACAAAAAAGTCAGAGAAGTGGGGATTTTTCAACCGTTGTCGTACTTGTGGAAGTAAATTGGCTCCTCCAGACGGCCATAAGTACTGTATTTTCTGTCTTGGGGAGACTCACAATCCTGATTCTTGTGACCATTGTGCGCAGTTTTCCAACCAAACTCGGAAGAACAGAGCGGCACGTTTAAG